AACCATTCTAGGATTCTATGCTTATGTTAAAACCTCACTAAGGATTTTTTTTTTTGATAGTGTAGTGACTTCTACCATTTAATTATGGTCTGTAATAGTAGGTAATTGAGGCCAAAGGCTCAGCTGGATTCAACATTTCCAGGGACAGTGAGAACATCTACAATTAAATTGCACAGAAACAGAGACTGCTTGGGCATTTGTAATCCTCCAGCGTGAACCAAACAGCGACTCGTGGAAGACACGAATAACCACAGGCAGGTCATTCTGCAGTTCCACACTGTGGGGGTGCCCCTTCATCCTCAAAAGCATTTGCTTTTGCCGCTGCCCAAATGCACACTAGCTGGACTTGATGTGGACAGGCAGCTGCTGTGCACAGCTCTTCAGCTCATCCCACACAGGTTCAAGGGCGGGTAACCGCCCCCTGCCCATTGTGGGCTGCACACCCACCTGCACTGCTCACCTCCCCTGCAGAGCCCAGCTCTCTGCAGAGCCACCCTCCTGTGCATCAGGCACTCCTACCCACTGCTCTCCCCGTGCTGTACATCATTCCCCATCCCGGCTGACTCACACACCCAGCACCATTTGCTGTCACACCAAGATAACAGAGGTGTATTGCAGCAAATGGCAAGCTGAAACTTCTGGAAGAGGCCTCCAACCCAGAAAGGACTTGGTGGGAAGCAGGAGTCTGCAGACAACACAGTGCACAGACTGAGCAAGTGTCCCTACTAAGGGGGCATCAGGTGCTGGAATGAGGGCTGGGATCCTGGGCTGGAGCCTGTATTTTACTGTAGGCAGTGAACACAACAGTCACCTTGTTCATTGGCTGCTGGACATTTTGCAGGGGACTGTGCTTAGTGCTAGAGGAAACTCTGCTAACTGCAACCCTGGGAAACCTCTGCATTCCCAGCTAAAGGTAAGTCTGAGCTGAGCTCCAACCTTCTAGTATATACACGAGGAGGCAGAAAGGTGGGATGAACTTCTGGATCAGGCCTTAGTGGGCATTCTTAGAGTAGGAACAGGTACTGCTGCGTAAAACCACAGGAACAATGACCGCTGCTTCCGCCCTTGACAGAGAAACCCACCCAGTCTCACCTTAATGAGAAAGTCCCCGAGCTGCAGGTCACTCAGGATCTCATGCACAATTTTCAGGCACTCGGCATCGGGAATCATGGGGTCAAACTGGCCAGCGATGTCAAAATCCTGGGGCACAGGAAAAGGCAGTGAGCAATTCAGCACTGTATGGCTGCAGCAATACAGCTTCAGCTCTGCTGTTAACAGCAGTTTGTTTACAGAAAGCAAGAAATGGATGTAAAGGAGCACTAGCTCTCACTGGCAGGATCCAGAAGGGACAGGATGTGGGTTATGACCCTCTTTCATGTACCTTTCTATAGGTATACAGGTGATAAAAGGAAGATCAGGGAAAACATGGGCCGTCTCCAGAAGGAAATGGGACAGCTGGTTTCCCAAGATATGGAGAAGGTCGACATGCTCAATTATTTTTTTGCTTTGGTCTTCACTGGCAAGGGCACAATTCCAAGTATAAGGACAGGCTGGGCGGAGAATGGATCGAGAGCCGCCCTGAGGAGAAGGGCTTGGGGGTACTGGAGTTGAAAAACTGGACATGATCTGGTAGTGTGTGCTGGAGGCCCAGAAAGCCAACTGTATCCTGGGCTGCATCAGAAGTGTGGCCAGCAGGTCAAGGGAGGGAATTCTCCCCATTTACTCTGGTCTCACGAGAACCCCACCTACAGTTCTGCAGCCTCCAATATAAGAGCATGGACCTGTTAGAGTGGGTCC